CTTTGAATGGAAGAAGGATCTAATTATTATCATGTGTTGGATCATAGAGTTGGAAGGTGCCTTTCGCACCATTTTTCCCTGGGGAGGCAAAGTTACGGTTTGTTGTGAATCTCTTGTTGAATGCGGCAAAGGATTTGTGGGGGTGGATTGTTCAGTATGTTATTGCGACCGAGCTTAAGGCCATGATATAGGAGGAGTTTATGAGTTGGCTCAGGGAGCAGTATGTGCCCCCGGTGGAGATCGATGGAGTGACTTGGGAGTACCTGGAACTCAATCAAACTATTGATTCAGTGATTGAGATCACTAAAGAATCCATGGGCAGGGTGTTGTTTTGCCATGAGTATGTTGTAACTGAGAAAATGAAGATATCTCGTTACTCTGATATACTGAAGACAAAGATTAGGGATTTTGTGCTTAACGCCATGTGTCAGAAGCTTGGTGAGATGGTGGATACGGCCCAAACTCGGGAATTGGAACTGGAGATCTAGCAAAGGAAGAGAAAGCTTGTGTAAGTTCATGCATCATCGACAGTAGCTAAGAAGTTCAAATATGTTGATAATTGTACTAGAGGACAGAAGAGCCAAGGTCGTTGTGGCAAGTGTAGGAAGACACACAAGGGTTCATGTTGTGTGTTTGGGTTCTATAAGTGTGGGCAGTAGGGTCATTACAGCTGGGACTATAAATAGGATGTAAGGGTATGCTATCACTGCAATCAGCTTGTCCACATTAAGGTTGGTTGTCCCAGACTAGCAGCAGAGGAGGTATGGCTCCAGCACCAATGACTTTGCAACTGACTGATGGATGCCATGGGAGGGCGGAGGCCCCTAGGACCAAGGGCAGAGCTTATCATCTTACTGCAAATGAGGCAAGAGCAGTACCCGACATGGTCATTGGTATGTATTCATTTTATGCTTATGTCGTTCTTTCGTTGTATTCTTATCATTACATTTGTGGATAGGTACATTTCTAGTCAACTATGTACATGCCTTAGTTTTATTTGAGTTTGAGTGAGTCATTCATTTGTGCCGCTTGCTTTTAATGAGGGTATTGATGTTGCTCAGGAAGCGTTGGACCACTTATATGACCTTATTTAACTATGTATTTTAGGTTATTATCCTAATATATTTGAGTAAAAATGCTATATTTTAACATATATAATACTTAATATGATTTGAGGTGTTCAATCATAGTTAAAATTGGAGTTGGGGTGCAAAAGGAGGAGAAAGGAGCTAAAAAAAATGCAAAAAAGATATTGTTGGCAAATTGACCTCTTGTCAGTGTTTTGGCCATATCTCATGACTCGTAACTCCGATTGACGAGATTCGAAATGTTTTGGAAAGTAGACAAAATTTTGGACAACTTTTATGTTTTGAGAAAGTTCTGATTCCCAGTTAATGTGCCGTGGAAAAGAGTTTTCATGGCGTGGAAATTCGGAAATTTTCGTGGACGCGAAGAAACCATCTCCCACGGCGTGGCAAAACTTTCTCCATGCAGTGGTGATGTTGTAACCTATAAATTAAGCCGAAAATTAACCCAATGATATGTATTCAACCCTAATTTGTTCCCTATGATTATAAACCCCAGAAGTGTCGTTTTGAGGGTCTAGAAGGAGGTCAGAGGGCCGTTAAGTTGATGTAAACTCTTCTTTACAGATGTAAACAGTTTAGCAACAACAACTTCTGCACAACTCTTCTTCACATATGTAAACAGTCTAGCAACAGCAACTTATGGAGCATCATTTTCCTGTTCAAGTTCCAAAAAACCAAATTCTATGTTCATACAAATCACTTGCATTATTGGTCCATTATGGATAGGATAATGTAGAAACCAGGAAAACATTGAAATTTGTCAATTTCCAAAAGCTACTTAGTTTACAAAAGACAGACTTTATAAAAAGGGTTGCAACTCTTTATCAAACCACACGTGTTATTGATTGGTTTCATGAAATGCTAACAAGATAAGACATTATAATAGAAATATGTAACACTCAAAAAAATCAAACCAATTTAAACTTTTAAAAACATTTCAAACCATTAAAAATCATTACAACTTTGTTTTCAAAATGTATAATATCAGAGTTTTCCCAGAAACATAGACAAAACATGAGGAGTTGTACGATCATGCCTTCGCCTTGCCGCGATCCCCTGATGTACCTGAAACAATAAACTGAAACTGTAAGCCCGAGAGCTTAGTGAGTTCCCCCAAAATACTGATACACATACAATCCACATAAACATATCATAACAAACTGAACAACATGTAATGGGTCCCCAGCTTTACAGACTGGATTACCCCTGAGCCCACAGTACGAGTCTCCCTTTAGCCTGTAACTGGAATGCTCCCGAGCCCACAGTACGAGTCTCCCTTTAGCCCGTAACTGGAATGCTCCCGAGCCCACAGTACGAGTCTCCCTTTAGCCCGTAACTGGAATGCTCCCGAGCCCACAGTACGAGTCTCCCTTTAGCCCGTAACTGGAATGCTCCTAAGGTCTGTTGGCTACCGCACGGAGCAGTACAACCTCAACCCATCCCACATAACATATAACATACCACATAACCACTGAGCATGCAATAATCATATAACATCACAGGTAGTCCTACAGGTCTACCTAACTGACATAACTACTAGCATGCAACACTAACTTATACTCAACATCTAACACTGCTAGAATAACATATCCAATGGGCCGGCCTTGGTGCCTTAGACCCCTTAGTATAGTGAGGATAACTCACCTTGCAACTGTCGTCTGAAACTAGAAAGCTCAACTCCCGGATCACCAACACGAACTCCACCACCTATAGTTACCATAAAACCCTTTTTCATAAATCTCCAAATTACCAGAATACCCTCAGAAGTCAACTGGTCAACTCTTGGTCAAAGTCAAAGTCCACAGTCAAAGTCAACAGTCCATGTTGACTCGACTCGTCGAGTCCTTCCTGAACTCGAGAAATCGTGAAATCCTTGATTGGCTCGTCGAGTTCCCCTTTAACTCGCCGAGTTCATACGTGTCCAAGAATTGGGAGAAACCCTAGCCGACTCGCCGAGTCTTCGAACGACTCGCCGAGTTCAAGGCAATCTTCAACGGACTCGCCGAGTTTGTTCATCAACTCGACGAGTTCACGACCATCTTCATATGACTCGCCGAATTGATTATGCAACTCGCCGAGTCCTTGCAGACCTTCATCCATGCAGACACTTTTTAAGCCATGCCAAGGTTCTAGATTACAGATCCAAGCTTCTAATGCATGTTTAACACGTAAAGTTGCAAACTTTACACACATGCAAGGCCCTAAAGGCTCTAAATGACCAATCTAAGCTTCTAATGGAGCTTTACACCATAGGAGAGTCTCATCCTTGCAAAAGCTGGAAATTTATGGACTTAGGACTCAAAAGAGGTTCAGATCTGAAGTTTCAACTTCAGATCTAGCTCTCATACCAAAATCCCTTCATGAGTAACTAAAGAAAGCCCTAGTTTTCACATATGAATTATTCTAGAAGAAAAAGAGGTTAAGGTAACAGTTGGTTACCTCCAAAACGTGCCCAAACTGAAGTAGACTCTGGATCCACACGGAAATCTTGATGCTAGCCTCTTGATCTACAAGTTTCCTTCACAAAAGTCACTCCCCAAAGCTCCAAAACACTCTCCAAGCTCTCACTTACAACAATTAGGGTTTCTGGGTCTCAAGAGGGTGATAGAGGACAGTGGGAGGCGCCAATGGTCGAATATATAGGGTGCAAAAACCCTGAAAATTAGGGTTTCCACTGCCAGCTCCTACTCGTCGAGTCCCATGCCGACTCGACGAGTCACTCATTAATTGACGCGTCCTGGCCCGCTGCTACTCGACGAGTCATAGCGCCAACTCGTCGAGTAGACCTTCAACGTGAAGTCTAAAAGGAAAAATATTAATAATACCTGACGGTTGGGATGTTACAAAATATATATTCTCATTAATGATCCACATGATCCTATAGGTTCATTAATCGAGTTTGTATATCCTTCGATTTTGGAAAAGTACAACACTACAAGCTACTTTCAAGAAAAAGCAACACTTGCTCCAAAGAATGAAGTGGTTCAAGAAATAAACGACCGTTTGCTATCGAAGTTTCCAGGAGATGAGGTTGGATACTTAAGTTCAGATAGTATATGCCAATCTGAATTTGTCCGTGATCATTTTGATGCAAATTTATATTCACCTGATGTTTTAAATGGTCTAAAAGTATTGGGTTTACCAAACCATAGGTTAGTTTTAAAAATCGGTGTTCCAGTTATGTTGCTGAGAAATATTGATCAGAAAAATGGCTTATGTAATGGGACAAGACTCTAGGTGATATCATTGGGCAAACGTGTTATTGAGGCAAATATCATATTTGGAACTAATATTGGAAACCACACTTTTATTCCAAGAATGTCTTTAACTCCATCAGAAAAGAAAATTCCCTTCAAATTCCGAAGAAGACAGTTTCCATTGGCTGTATGTTTTGCAATGACCATTAATAAGAGTCAGGGACAGTCGTTATCCAAGGTTGGTTTGTTTCTCAAACATCCTATGTTTTCACATGACCAATTGTATGTTGCCTTATCTAGAGTTCAAAGCAGTGACAGATTAAAATTGTTAATTTTAGATAATGATTGTAGTCTCACAAATAAAACTTCCAATATTGTTCATAAGGAAGTTTTTGGGAATTTATAAACAGTGTTTTTCTACCATCTTTTATTTAGTTTTCGTAAATCACACTTCATCCATCATATTAATTAATTAATTTATAATACTTTATTGTAATTGATTTATTCATGTTAATTATTCTTCATTTTTTCCAAACTTTGATATCTTTTTTTATTAGACAATTAAAAGTATAATCCTATTTCAAATTATCAACTGCCTATTTCCACATATTTAAACGAATTGTTTTTTATTTATATCCTATTTATATCTAACAAATATGTTTATATCTTGCTTGAGCCCATACTTTTAGAATCTGGATCCGCTGGCCTATTATAAGATTTGGAAAGGGCCTAAAACGGGCGGGTTGCCCGACAGGAATCGGGGACGATGCCTGTCATTCTTTCGCTATTAGCCAATTGATTCTCCGGCTCCGGCTCCTCTCCATCATCGATCATCTTTTCCGCCATGGCTACGAGGAAGCTATCGCTATCGAAGCTTCTCCGCTGCCGAAATCACACTCTTCATATAATTACTTCTTCAATTTCCTCATCACCTAGTCTTAGTTCCCCTTCTTATTCAATCGAACCCCGCCGTTCCTCTAATGTATTCGATCGGTATTTAGCTACACACGACTTCCATAGACACGGTGATGGTGGTGGATTTTTGAGACCGTATAAGTTCTCATTAGCATCATCATCTTATCGTTCCTTTTCAACTGATAGAGAAAAGGCCACAGATGGTCCCGCGAGTGAAGAGCTATCTGGGCCAGGATTTTTTGATTACAACTATGATGGTGGAGGTGATTGGGGAATTCCCGGTGAGGTTAGGGATGCGGCTGGCAGTGACGAGGAGGCAATTCTTCCGGTTCGCTGCTTGGTTTGGTTCCTGGATAAAGTTCATGATCTCACCGGCATGCCTTGGTAAGCTTAAACCGATTTTTATATGCTCGACCAGAGAGTAAATGTACTTTGACTAACGAGACTGTATAATTAGTAGACATTCCCGGGGAAAAAAAATGATATGAGTGTGTTAGTTATGGTACTAATTGCATGATGATCAAATCGACATTCATCTTTAGGAAAAGCATTCCAAATTTAAACACTTGATGATGAAGATGACATCTGCAAAGTGATGACGGTGGGGGTATGCACATGCATACCACAAATGAGTTTTTATTAAGTTATGTTATGTAAAGAGAAAGGAGTAAATCATAATACAATTCCTATCTTTCTTTGAGTCATTCTCTTACTTTATTCATGTAAATTGACCTTATAATTGTGACTATTTCTGTAGGTGGATGGTTATCATCATCTCCACACTAGCTCTAAGAGCTGCTATACTTCCCGTGCTTCTGGTGCAACTCCAGAAGTTGAAGATTAATGCAGAATTAGCACCAAAATGTTGGTATCCTCTCCCTGCTTTGATCAAGAATGTTGCACTTAAGATAGGAATCGTGCATATTTACAAAAATTAGTAACAAAAATTATGCATTTGATACTAACTGTTTATGGCATGGTTGTGTTATTACTATACCACTTAATGCAAATGCTCTCAAGATGATCGATATCAAGGCTGCACATATTTCACTAGTGTCTAAAACCAATCTTTTGATTAGTTTACATATAGAACAGATTAATGCTTTATATTATGTGGAAGCATTGCCATTGTGCATATAACTAGAAGTTGAATAGAGATTGGGTATTTTATTTAACTTACACATGTGGTTTTGACTTTGTTATGTTTCTTAAAGTGCCTCCCCCGTTACCACCACCTTTCTCAGGAAAGAGTTGGATAAAGCAGTACAAACACTTTCGGGAGAAAAGGAAAGAAATTGGCTGCCCTTCATTTTTATGGGTCTTAGCATATCCCTCTGTTCAGGTTATTTTGTCTCCAAACTGTCCATAGACATCAAATATTTTTTTATTTATAATATTTTGATACAATTATCATTTCATTTTTATTTTCAGATTCCTTGCTTTCTCTTGGGAACAACAAGTGTCCGACGAATGGCACTGGATCATCATTCAGGCTTTGAAACTGTAAGGCAACATATAAACAAAACTATTCATTAATGCATAATATATTGGAAGCTATTTATCCAACATCTCTTAGTTATTGTTGGCCCAAAAATAAAATTTTGAAGTTCTGTCTTGTATGAAACTCATTTCAGGGGGGCACTCTTTGGTTCCAGAATCTGACTGAAGTGTCACATGGTGCTTCAGGCTACATCTTTCCCGTGTTGTTAGCTTCACTGCATCTTGTCAATGTTAAGGTAAATCCCTTACTTCACATTTTTTTTACTACTATTAATGGATACAAAATTTCCCAAGTTATAAAGTCAATATTTCTCTTTCTTCGAGAAAGAATAAAGTTATAAAGACAATATGAAGAGCCTCACTTGTCTAATGTCTAGCTGAATTATTTTCCTGAGTTTTATGTCTTTTATGTAAGTATTTCTTCTGTAGAGGCTGTATAGCATTGTCTCAATCGAGTTCATTCAGATTATGTTGTATGTTACTGAAAATAAATTATCATTTGTTTCGAATAGGTTTCATTTGAGAAGTCTTCTCTGACGATGCTCCCCAATATATTTGGCGTTTTAGCAAAGGTGAGCGAAATAATCCATATACTCAAGGAAGGAATTGGAATTTAAGATTCCATGCCATGGGCTGTTTGATTTGGTTGCCAAATGGACAGAGTTTAACTCTGTTGGAATCCTCAAATTTCATGTCCTTCCTCCTTTTTTTTTTTTTTTATTAAAAGACCAGAATACCCTCTTTTATGTATCTTGAAATAAATGATAATGAAAGGTTCGGTATAATATATTTACAATAAACCAAAAATATTGAAGCATAAGTAAAAATTTGAAAATTATTAATTTTTTGTTGTATTTATTTTCATCTCCTGCCTACCAAACACATGATAGGTTGGTTATGATTCCTTTAAATTCCTATTCCTTTAGCAAATTCCATTTCTTCCAAAAACATTCTACAAACCAAGTGCCCCTTACAAATACTTAGTTTATCACATGCTAACATTCTATGTTAACTTAAGTATTCAAGACATGTATTCTAACATCTCTGGCTTTTTGTTGCAGTATTACAGGTTCTACTTGCAGTGTCTCACAATTCCTATATTTTTTGTTGGATTTTATCTTCCCCAGGTGAATTGAAGTTCTCATATATCGCAACTAACATACTTGCAATTTATATCATCGAAATCTTAACTACATGTTAGGAAAATTTATAGTGTTTTTTATTTCTTTGTTGCTGTTATTGTCTAGTTTACCCTTGAATATCCTTTAATAAGATAATGTGAGTTAGTACTTGCTAATGATTCAGATTTTTGTAATGCATTTGCAGGGAAGTTTGCTATATTGGGCAGCTAGCAGCTCCCTAACCCTTGTTCAGGTTGGTTTTAGCTTTCTAAGACAGTGTTCGTTATGATGGAATCATAGCTCATTCCATCACAACAGAAAAAAAAAAAACTGTTTGTTTTGGGGAATTGGCTCTGATACCATGATATTGACATAAAAACCCTTCAGTTTTTAGAAAAATACGGTTTTCCCCCAACATAACTTTTTGGTGTGTTAAAACCGGAATTTTGCTAGTTTTTTTCTTCTTTTGCCCTTATTACCTGCTATCATAGGTTTACAGGTTACATGAAATAAAAGTCGAAAGAAAACCCTTAACTTTACAAATCTTTTACGTTTTTACCCTTTATATATATATATATATATATATATATATATATATATATATATATACAGAAAAAATGCATTTATACACGAAAAAATGTTTAATTAAACATTGTATTTACTATTTTTTAAAAATTCTATCTATTTATATACGGGTTTTTTTGGCTATACAGTTTAAAATGTATAAATACCTTTTTAGGAGTAAATATGTTTTTTAGAAGTATAAATACGTATTTTTACTTATTTAGAAGTATATATACATTTTTTTTTCAAGGAGTGTAATTCCTCCTATTTTGTTCGTTTCCGTTCCATTGTAGAGTGGGATGAAAACTTGCAATATAACCCATTTTTATTTATGTAAGCTCTATAACAAAAATCTTTTTTTTAATCTACAATTTAAATTATATTACAATTTTGTTTCCTAAAATAACTAGATATTGTAATGAATTTTGTTTTTCTTTTTTTAATGATATCATTGATTAGCCAAATATTGTATAGAGTAGAGTTACAAATGTACATTGTATTTACATAAAATATAAAAAAAAAATCATGTGGAAATTCATTCCATTCCTACTTTGTAATCAATATGGCAGCAATTAGCTTTGAAGCATCCACACATTCGCGAAAAATTAGGATTACCCGACAAATCAGCTCTTCCATTGGAATCAAAAAAGGCTCATGAAATGGATGGACTAGAAGCCACATTTAGTGTCCCTTTGGTTAAAAAACCTATTCAAGAGTTGTCACTGCTAGAACTTTTTAATGTAAGTCATCTTTTTCATTTTAGGCTTCTTTCTTTTCTTCATTTCAGCATCAATTTGCTCATAATTCTTCATCTTGGTTGTTGCTTATCCTTATATATAGCTTTCGATTAAACACCTATCCAAGGGGGAAAAAGATAGAGCAGTAACACTTCTAAGGTTAATTTTCATACTGGTTAAACTAATTTCATGGGTTAAATGCAAGAAATAGCAATGTATTTTTATTGATATGTTTTAAATTTTTTTCTGACAGTGGCGTGTTTTGAAAAATCTACACAGTTATAGCAATGCCATCCAAATATAAAGCAATCTTGATTGCTATAATTGGGTAGATATTTCAAAGTATAATGTCCTAATAAGAAAATCTGAAAGTGCAACACTATAACTGGGATTAAATTACATTTACCCAATTATAACAATGTCATGCAAATTTAGAGCATTTCTAACCGCTATAATGGGTAGATTATTCAAAGTATAATGTCTTAAAAAGAAAAAAAAAATGAAAGTACAATGCTATAGTTGGGTAATTTGTTCAAAGTATTGTATTAATAAGGAAAAAAACTGAAAGTGCATTTCTATAAACATGTACCCAAAATTGTAGTATTGTCATTCAATGATAAAGCAATTCTGATGGCTATAATTGGGTATATTTTTCAAAGTATAATGTCCTAATAAAGAAAAAAAAATAAAGTTGAAAGTAGAATGTTTTAATAAAAAAGATAAAAATGGAATGCAATAACACAGAAATAGAAAGTACATTGCTATTTTTTGCATTTACCCTTTCCTGAAGAACATTAATTACAGACTAGCACTTGAAAAGGAGCCTGAGTATGCGAGAGCATTGATCGTTATGGGGCAGATATTAATGAAAGATGAAAATTTAGTTGAAGCTACTGACTACTTGGAACGTGCTGTCACCAAAGTATTCAGATCTTCATTAATTAAATTTTCATTACTTTACTTTTAATTAATTAAAAAAAAAATTCATTTTATTGTTTTGGCAGCTTCTTCTTGTGGGTCATCCAACAGAAGTTGAAGATATTGATCATTTGATTCTGGCATGTACATGGTTAGGTGTGGCCCTTGCAAAGCAGGTGAACTATTATTTATTTATTTATTTATTTATTTTTTAAAGTATTACACTAGTTTTCTGTTTCTAGAAAAAAAAAAATCAAATAATGGAAGTACGTTGCTGTTTTGTGCATATTGGACAGGGTAAAGTTGTAGAAGGAATTGTACATTTGGAAAGAATAGCAAATATGAAAGAGCCAGAGGACCCCAAGAGCAAAACTCATTATTGTGATGCCTTGTTTATGCTTTCAAGGTTCAAATTAAATGCAACTTTTTTTTTAATTTTTTTTTTGGCAATGTCAAAAAAAAAAATCACAAAGTTAGTGAGTGACTGACAGTTGTAAGTGAATTTGCAGTTCTTTGGCAAGCATAGGACGAGATGATGAGGCAGCAAAGTATTTGCGGATCTTAACAACTTATGATCCAGCTTATGCTAAATACTTGAAAGATGTTGAAAAAACTGAAAACAACAATTTTGCAGATGATCTTGTGAATACCAGGAGAAAAGATTACTGACACCATATCATAATCCTATCTTACCAAACATTTTTTTTTTTTTTTTTTTTACAAAGTTTATTTATCACATTCACATTACCCCCTCAGAGTGAGTGAGTGAGTACTTGTATGTTGAGATGTAATAAATTAAAAAGAATAATGATACGTCATGTAATAGATTACATTCTTTGTTTTTGTTTGAGATACGAGAAACAAACAATAAACAATGATATATTTTCCTTATAGCTTATATAGACTTTATTAATATCTAAGATTGAATTCGAATAAGTTAACTTAACTTATTTGGAGTTTTGTAATGTAATACTGTACCCATTACTTGGAAACGACCAAAACACATGGCTTAAAGTTGAATTGTCTGAAAAAAACTCAGAGATCCCACGTGTTCAAGTGAATTCGGCTCAATAAATAACACAAAAGTTGTCGTCTTGTTTGGGGACTTGTGTTTTTGTTTTGGCACTGGTTACATAAGTTTGAGATGCTTAAATTAGTGTTTTGGAAGAATAAAGTGGCTGGAGCTTGCCGGTTGATCTTCATGTTGAATCTTTTCTTTTCAACAAGTTTTTATACATACCTTTACCTTTTTCTTCCTAACTAACTGTTACTTGAAATTAATAACTTTTGATAGTTTTTTATTACATGTTTAGTAAAAATCGTATTTCACATTCGATTAACTACTGAATATATCTATTAATTATAAACCCTTCTAAACTACCACTTGCTTTTTTGAAAGGCTAACTAAGACAACCCTTAACTACACCCTTTGGTCTAAACTATTACTTTTTGATCACTTTTATTTTATCTAGTCAGTAGTCAATACTATACATTGTTTGTTCCTATTTGATTCCTTCACATTACAAAATATATGCCTATATATACTTTATATCTAGTCAAAATTATATATTTATAAAAAATCCATGGAGACTTGTACTGGGGTTGCACCTCAATATTAGAACGAAAGAAGCAAGAAGAGCATGGCATTCAACAATAATTGCCACGTGGATGCAGATTACGTCAACATTTTCAGTCACATTATTTTGTCCTTTTTTCGTTGTGGACTCGTGTTACTTTTTTCTACAACTTTCTATCCGCCGGTATTGAACTAATCGTACATTTTTTTTTATCATAAATAAATATTAAATTATTTAATCGAAAAAGTCTATAATTATTTAAAAAGATACAATACATAAACATTTATAATAGACGAGTTTTTTCAATTAATTTATTGATGTCATGTTATATCATCGTATCAAACAACCCAAAAAGCCTACGAGCATAACCAAGTTCTTTCACAAAGCTTGTTTATGAGTTCTACCAATATCAATTTATATAATAAATAAATAAAATACTATTACAATATAAAAAAAGCTCTATCTATTAAGCTGGTAAATTTACAAAAGTACTAAAATAGGACGAAATACTCTCACAATAATTTTTTTAATTCCACAGTTTATTTAACCAAATGACCTTTTCAAATAGCTCATATTGTGGGTACTTTGGGTTATTTATTTTCCAAATTTTATACACAAAGCCGGGTTATATACGTTAAATTTTAGACATGGAAAATTAATCCTTATAATAAGGTCAATAGAGTCTATTGAAGATAAGTGTATGAATTTTCCCATTACAAAATTTGAACTCGTTTGCAAATTATTGTTATTTTATTTTCACTTTTTTTTATTATCGTAGACAAGTGTTTTATTATTATTATTATTATTATTATTATTATTATTGAAGAAAAGTGTTTGGATTTTCTCATTACAATAGAGTTTATCATTTTTACTTGCAGTATGAAACTAGATTATGACCCGCGTTAAACGCGGGGAATGCATACATAAAATACAAATGTATATAGATATTGCAAAATAATTATAAAAAAAACCAGGGTTATTGGTATTATTGAAATGTGTAAAAAATATATTGAAATCGATAAATATATATAGTTGTTGAAGGACCTCTTTATAGATGGTAATCCAGTTAGAACATCTTTTTCTAAAAGATCAAGAAATTGACAATTTATTAGAATCTTATCACATTGATAAAAGTCATAACAAAGTGCAATAGATTGAATCGATTGTTACTTGAAAATATAAATTGACAATTTATTTGTATAACATAATTATCTATACAATTGATGATGCATTATATGGTGTCAAATAAACAATAGTTACTTGAAAATATAAATATGATGCTATGATTAGATAAAAATATAAGTATGTTGCTTTTATTGGTTCATAAGAAAAGTATGTTTCTATTATTTTTTAAAAAGTTAAGCATGCTTTTATTTTTTGTAACAATAGATAACTTCAATGCTATTTATTGGATTAAAATGTAAATATGTTGCTATTATTGGTTGAAAAGAAAAATATGTTGCTATTGTTTGGTAAAAAGACAAGAATGTTATTATTTGTAAAAAAGATAAGTTCATTTTTGTTATTGGATTGAAAGGTAATTATTTTGCTATTATTTTTTTTGAAAGTTAACTATGATGCAACACACCTTCGATTGGTTAGAAATAGATTAAGTCACTCACAAAAAAGGTCATCTCTTGTATACACATAAAAAATATTATACAATCGAATCTCAAAATATTAAACATATCGAGTTCTAAAATATAATATGGTCATCTCTTGTATACACATAAAAAATATTATACAATCGAATCTCAAAATATTAAACATATCGAGTTCTAAAATATAATATGTTTTTCTGTACAATAGATTTCATATTAACTTTTAATGTAAAACCTACATAAAAATCCAACGTAAATTTATTTAATCTTTATTGAAATACTGAAACAAAAACACTATAATTTAGCTATGGCAAATCATAAACATAATTTTTCCCAAGAAATGTGGTTCAAAACAACCAAAAAATCCCATCTTCCATAATAATCTTGTTTATGCTACCTCTAAAATCTTACATCCCGTTACCTACAACATCCAAGAACACAGGGTCACTCATCAATATAACCATAGGCTGCATTAGGTTTATTATGCACCGATTCAACTATTGCCCGAACTTCTACAATTCTATGTGCAATGGTTGTCATTTAATGAAGGCACGATTTTTAGCTCTAAATTTCAACATAATCAGACTTCATCATGTTAGTAATTCTTTTAATCAATACTTAATTAAGTTGAAGCAAAACCACACTTATGGTAAGCAACCTTGAAAACCGAAATTATTGGAATTTATGCTATAGGGTCATTTTTTACTAAAATATTTATTATTCTTCTCCTTCGTAGCTTCCATTTATTGATGCTCTTCCTCATTTTACACTACATTAAAACAAATTCATTAAAACGATTATATTAATATAAAACAAAAGACCAAGAAACTAACAATTCTAAGGAGGAAAGGTAATGGCATGTCACCTAATGCCCTTTTTCAAGAGAGATCGAATGGAAAAAAAATCTAGGGCTTTGTATTTTGATGTAAAAAAAATAGAACAATCAGCAACACCCAACACTGGAGATTTGGAGGATAAAACTTGTTAGAAGGAGATCTGAAAAATAAAACCAACAGGCCTTCAAAAAAAAAAGATCAAATTAGAAATATTATAAACTTTAATTAAGAGATAAGAGAAAATGATAAACTTGGTCCCTATGGTACATTATTCTTTCTAAGTTTTGGTTGAAGGGTAAAATGGTCATTATCAAGTTTTGACAGCTAGACTAATATCTTCCACTCTTGATGTCAAACTAATGTCAATATCAAAATTCTTATGAAAACATTAATCATTCTTTGGGTATAATTTTTTCCATGCGATTGATTATTTATCATTTACTCATGCTAATTTAGGATAATTTTAATTAGTTTAAGGCAGTGAAAGAAAAACTAACCTTAAAAAGCAATTGAAGACCAAGACTTTTCATCTGTACAGTTCTCATAATCTAGTCTGTAAAAGAAAAACAGAATGATTTCAATTGCATACAAATGTTTCTACCTTTGTTGAATAATTATTACTTGTAATTTTTATTCAGAAAACACAAAAACAACATAAATTTAATTAAAGGGAGAATTGATAATAGAAGTTACTTACGATGTGAATAAAGTAAGAGTATGAGTATTGTTATCAGAGCTCGTCAGAAACCACGAACCATCCGACCCACCTATAGAAACAACATTCATCACCACAAGCAACGCACAAACAATGAGCATTGAACTTAAGAATAGATGACAATTTTACCATTTAATGCCCTTGAGGAAGTTATTAGGATTTTGAGACAATGCACACAAAAATTAGCATATGCAAACATCATTGTTGGTTATTATGTTAATCAAGAACCACAATCATGGTTTTTACCATGAAGTAATATATATATATGGTAACAAATATGCAGTTGGGTCATTTAGCAATAATAATGCCATTAACAAATATGCAGTTGGGTCAGTGCTGTAATTAGCTGAAATATTGCTCATACGTCCCTTAGTACATGTTCATAAATATGCAAAATTTCAAAATTAAAACTCAACACAGATGCAATTGTGAGAAAGCAAAATAGATACGGAGAATAAGGGACATAGGAAATTGTAAATTGTAAAATAAATACAGAGAATAAGGGAGAAGGGTAACGTAACTGGAAAAATAGTTATTAATGTAAAAAAATTGATCAAACTTGCCTTCTTAGTTCATCTTGTAGCAAATAAAACTTGTTATAGTTCGTTTATTCAATTTTATTGATTTAAGCACTCTATTTTTATCTCAAACATCATACCCTGAATCAATCAATTTATGAAGCAATTCAAACGGGACTTCGGATGTATCCTATTGATCCATACAATGAAAATTTAGCACCGTTTAAGATGGTCCCTATGTAATAAAAAAATTAGATAAATACTTCATCTGTAACAAAAATTACAGAAATGGTTCAACATCACTCTTTATACCATCCTACTTTCCCTTGCTTCAACCGTTGGACATTTTTTTAATGTAAGACTCTTTATAGCAATATTTTTTTAGCATGTATAAAACAATTTTTCAAGTGGTAGCTATAATGCTATAATTTTCAAGTGGCAGCAAAAGAGTCTTTATAACATCCTACTTTGCCTTGCTTCCACTGTTGAAAATTATGACCAATTTGTCTTCCTGTTTCAAACTGCTCAAATTTATGACCATTTCATCCAGTTACCTATTTTTTGTTGAGATCATTTTGTAAAAGGAAAAAATACAAATAAGAACATCGTACTTTTATAAAGAAATAACACCAAAAAAATGTTGGATACATAACAACCTACTTTATTTCCACCGAATATGGTTTAAAAGCAGAGTTCAAGGCTGCCAATGCTGAAGCACTTTAAGTTGGTCCACCACCCTCTATCCCTGTCACAATTAAAAAAATTTAAACCTTTTTATATTTATGCCCATTACGGTATATATAATTCTTAAATGTCATAAATGTGATAGAAATAATTCATGAATAGCTAAATGCAAGAATAACAACTTATTTCAATTATTTGTTTATTTACCAACTTGCATTTATAGTATGATATTTTAATGAATACATTAAAGAAAGTACTTTGATAATTTTTTATTTTTCAAAGTAGTATGTTGTATAGGATCTACCAATTGCCCAAAGATTTCGACATTTTCCGCCCATGTACATTGCGAATCATGGGATGCAAATAAACCTAAAGAATAGTTTAATATCATGCATTATTTGTTTGTCAATATATCACTATCATTATCATCTGAACTTAAATAATCACAAATCATCTTCACCTATGACTCATATACCATGTATATGTAACTCGCTAGCTACTAATTTGCGCCTAGCACATAACATAGTTCACGAATGACAACTGAACCTAGGTAAGGTGAAAGATACAATAGCATATGGATCAGACTGTTATATCCAACCACTGGGAGGAGTTGATGTGATATGGCTGTTAGATATTCAAAATTAATTCAACAACATATAAACTTATTATAGAACCAGAGTGTGATAACAACAAAAGCAAAAAAAAAAAAAAAAAAAAAGCGAACAGGAAACTGACCCTGTACTGTACTGGCAGCAACAACTTCTTCTCTTCTTCATTGAGCCGGATTTTCTCTTATTCAAAATTTTGTTCGGCACTCTGCATAGTTGACTCTGGGATTGTGTGTGGATAGAGAGCAAGCTTCATTGGTTTCAGATGGAATTGGAAAAGTTATTTGCAAGACAGGAGTTTGTTTTTACACAAATTTGGTGAAGTTGGCTCCTTGAATCTTGAATCTCTTCCAATAATACATCTCTCCCATGTCAAAGAAGCTCCTAAAACATTCCAATTCATCATGTGCACTTTTTAGCAGCCAAACGGTCTGTTTGACCATGGGAAGCATGGTAGCTTCTGAAATATTATTTGCAAGGGCATTTTGGGAAGCAATCAATGTTGAGGAAGTCCTCAAACTTTTCATGCTGCTACTAATAACTTGGAGTTGGAGACCTGATACTTCAGATGGTAGTATTGTTAGACTTGAACCTTCATAACATATGTTATCTAATGAAGGGATCAAGATTTCTCTCACCGGTGTTTGAGGCTGCATCTGCTACAGAATCGAAGGTAATGTAAACCTGTGTCAAACATTTGAAGAGCACTGGGAGCCATTTGATCCAACAAACTGTTTCTCTGAAACCTAAAACACAGAATGATGCAACATAACATATCAACAGTGGCTTCAATTATTTGTTTGTCAATGATTTGCAAATTAAAAAAAAACGTATCAAGGGATTTATTAGGTTAATGTGTATAACTGTCAATTCTTTAAAATGGTGAAATAAGTTTAGTTGTACAACACATCAACTAGAATCCAAATGTTGGGCCATCGATTCATTCTCCAATTTGAATCGATCATGTACAATCCTAATCGCAGGTCAAACCATAGAAATTTAACAAATGGCCGATTACATATATGTAATAACATTCGGTCAATAATAAAACCATCATCCCTGATTCCCTGTGTTAGCTGTTCAATTGATGCAATTATCAAAACACAAGCCTCGTCACAAAATTAAACATCTCAACAGATGCATTGTAACGAAAGTTTCAAAAACGATAGATCACACATGGAGTAATCAATCACAAAACTACATTAAAGAATAAAAATGAAAACTCACCAACAAATTGCTAGACTCCTTGAAGAACAGAAGAATATTACTACATGAAACCCTAAAATATGAGATTGATGAAGAAGATTGAAGTAGACGGGAATGGTTTCTTTGTTTCTTTAGTTATGATTGGAGAGAGAGAGAGAGAGAGAGAGAGAGAGAGAGAGAGAGAGAGAGAGAGAGAGAGAGAGAGAGAGAGAGAGAGAGAGAGAGAGACGAACGAAGGAATACAAATACGTAACCGTGTTTGACCAATACCTGGTCAAGCATGATGTCAGCAAATAATCCAAGGGTGGAGAATATAGGATTGATATGCAAATAACGGTCCCGATTGTTTTAGGTTGGAATTTAAGGTTCACTTTTAATAATATTTAGAGATTTATCAATTTTTTTTTTATTTTTTTATTTTTTATAAATATGGAAAACTGTTTATTTATGATTAATAAAATAACAATTTTGGGTTGGATGATGGTTCTGGGCTAAGAATCCGGAACGCACCAATTGTTGTACTGTCCAAACACGCAAGGATTCCTTGATTTGGTCATTCACCTCTTGAGTCTTGCCTCTTGGTCTTGGTCACCAAGAATCAAAAGATTCACAAGATCAGACCCTAAAAGATCTTGATTTTCGAGTTGTCAGAATACCCACAAACATAATTTCAAAGAATGCAGTGTCCAAGCAATAATTTCTTCAGATACAACACCACTTTATGCGCCTGCAATCCAGGTTACTTTTACAACACCACCGATAACACCTGCTCTCCGGCGACCTCCTCCGGTGCCGACGAGTTCTTGGTGGGTTCTGGAGTTGACTATTCAATCAACATCCCTGCTAACCTCTTCTCATTTGACACAATTAAGAAATTCACACAATCTCAAGCTGTGTTTCTTGAGACTACCCTTGTGTTACTTGCTTCGTGGCTCGTATTTTGCTTCTTTGTGCGATTTGGGAAGCTCGGTGATGGAACAACGCTTTGGTTTCAGATCAGATGGTGGATTAGCAGACTGGATGTATCCTTTGCTACTCGCCATTGGCTGGTACTTTTTTTGACTCATTGTTGAATGTTGGATTTAGATTTACTTCCATCTTTTGACTTTCAAGAGTCAAAATTAGCCAAGTATTAAATACAGTCAAAATTTGTGAATAATTTCATTATGTATCCATATAAAGATTACGTAAATAGAAAAATGATGTAGATAAGTAACTTAAAGTCTTAAACAATATGTTAAATTTCAATTTGGATTTGACCCAAAATATATTGCTTTTGAGACTTTCTAGCCATCAGAATCTTAAATCTTGATGCATTCTTGTTTTCTATTAGGTTATTCATATGTTCTTATGATTAGTGAGGCTGTAAATCACATGTTAATCACCTGAACTAAAAAGGGTATCCTTCTTTTGATTAGGAAATTGCATGTAGAGATTGGGAATTTGGGAAGGAAAAATCTTGGTAGATAGAAATAAATTAAAATCTAATCAGCATCTTCTTTATGATTATCCTATCATTTTTTCATCTTGTATTTTTTTTTTCTTGGAACATTGTTATACATTATTCTTTATATGATTTGTGTAGGATGATCAAAAAGTTGTCAAGAAGCGAAAAACAGAACTTGGTGGAACTTTCTCGATTGCAAGCTGGATTCTTTTTATTGGTCTGTTTGCTGCGTGAGTGACCGATAATTTTCATAACTAAACCACACCACTACCTTTCACACCTTTCTTATGCTCAAATACAAAACAATCATGTTCTTTTTTCCCATTAACCACTTTATGGGTAAAGTGTCAAATTTGTAAAAAAGTTAGGACTTGATGGGGAAAGTCTCCTCTCTGACTTTCTCTATTAAGTCGTTGAGAAAGAAACACCCATGTATAACTTACCTAACTTTTTTTTTTTCTGTGTCTTCCAATCACAGATTACTATACCAAATCATATCAATGAGAACCGTTGAGGTGCACAGTGTGATCGCAACAAATGCACCCGACTTAGCATCATTCCACAACGACATGGAATTCAACATAACCACCATTTCCACCATGACCTGCTCAAATCTACAAGGACTTTCCACTTTGGTCACTGGGAACCCCGGTTTTATTAATTACCGAACCGCCCCTCTTTCCACTTTGGTCAACTTCACCTGCGAAAACACCACAACGGGCCCCACAATATCTCTAAAATGCAACGATTGTCAACTCCTTCGTGACAATTTATACATCTCATGGCAATTTGTTGACCTCCCAAATATGCCTGCAATGGCGGTTGGTTTTGAGTTTAAGCTGAGCGCAAGAGACCCGCGTCACAAAAAGCATGTGAGTTTTGTAAGTGGGGCTTTGAAGAATGGAAGTACAAATAGTGCAAAGTTTGTGACATATAGAGGGAGAGATCCGAATATTTTGCAATTTAATTTGTTTCCGAGAATATACCGGACTAAACACGATCTTAAACTCATACAACCTCTTTTTCATGACTTCCTTCCTGGTTCGTCTCATTCTGAGACGAACCAGCTGCAGGCCTCATTACAGAGGCCTGCAGATGGGCTCGTGAATATGACATTATATGTCAATTACCTTTCGTCCTACATTGTGGAAATCGACAATCAAAGCACTCTTGGGCCTGGTGAGTAATATTACTTTTTTGCCCTTTTGTCATGCTTGCAATTTTTTGATTAGATATTTGCTCGAAGGATATGTCTAACGTATGTTATTTTTCGAAGAATGCAGTGGGGTTTCTTGCTGATGTTGGCGGCTTGTATTGCATTAGTATTGTCATATTTTTCTACCTTATGGTGCAAGTATGCTTCTTATTCCTTTTCCAAAAAATTAATCCTTGTTCTTTCCATATTTTAACAAACATTTCATTTGCAGTAACAATGGAAACGGAAAATAGATAATAATGGAAACCTAAAATAGAACCGGATACGTACTTGGGTTTGTTTTAATCTGAAAATATAGAAATTTACATTTTTTGTCCCCGTGTATAGTGGTTGTGATCCCAAAAAGTTTTCTCTTGCAATTTTGGTCCTTATTTGAGAATCTTGGTTCCAAGTAAAATGACTATTTTGGTCCCTAATTATAGGTGATTTTTGCAATGTTGGTCCAAAAAATATAGTTATTTACTTGGAATAGGGACCAAAAACGCCCAAAATTGCAAAAATCAGCTACTCAAGGACCGAAACTTTTGAAAATATAAAGTGATAGCATGTCATTTCAAGTTTGAATAAAATAAAGTAAACCAGATCCTAATTTGTTTTGTCCCGTTTAGTTTGAGTATAGATTCAAGAGGTTCCGTAGTGAGGATAGAGTGATGAGAAGTATTAGAAATCGCCGGAAAGCCCAAGAACGATGGAATAAGGTATTTTGTCTTAATAATTTCTTCTTTTATATTTAGACTGTTGAATGTGATTGATTATCAACCGAATTTCAATATTTCTTTAATTATCAAAACTAGTTGAGAAAGTATGTAAGTTTTACGTGGGGCCCTGGAATATTGCCTTCAGAAGACAAAGCTTTTGTGGAAAAGGAATGTTGCAATTGTTTTGCAGTTCCAAAGAGAAGGAAACAAACAACAATGGATAATATCAGTTTCAACACTACTAAAGAGAAGGTATGAAGTTACAAGTCATAGATTGTAATAGTAATATATACATTGTTTTTGTAAATTGTAATGGCAACCATTTCCATTTTAAGGCAACCAACTTTTTTTTTTTTTTTTTTTTGATACACAAGTCATAGAACATGAAGTAATTGTCTTCTTCTCTCATCTGCAGCAGGTGGTACATGATGTGAATTGCAAAGAGGAAAATAACAGAAATAGTAGCAGCATGCATTCAGATACGCCTCAACATGATATACCTTTGCCACCATCATTAGGTAAAATTCAAATGACCAAATTACCCTTCCGAGTTAAGACACGACATGTCTTTATGGCTAGGGCAATTTTTTTTATGTATTATGAGGGTCAGAATGTCTTTTGCAAAGACGAGAGACCAACTGTCCCACTTCGTTTCATCTTTTTGTCCCATTGACATTAGTCTAAGTCCCAGTCCAATCGAAGCCAAATGGACTTGTAAATTGTATCACTTCATTGATTCTGTGTCTTTGTGTTGGCAGAAATCATGCCTGGTTCTGAAATCAGCATTCAAGAAATCCATAAAAACCTCAAAAATCTGTATGAATACAACGTGATGCTTCGAGACAAGCTGGTTACAACTCGATCCATGATCAATGCTTTAACATCAAAGGCTTCTGCTGCATCTTCATCGGATCAGAGACACCAATAGCATAAGTTTAGCACTCCATGCTTTTAAAATAAGCTTGGTTTGTATTGTTAGGGTTTTGTATATGTAAATTCTAGGGGGGGTAATGCAGAATGTGTATGGTTTGTAAGGACGATGTAGGTATGTGGTGTGCTAATTCTTTCATTGTATATGTTAGGTAATAGATATGGGCGTGGTTATTCTTCTACGTGTCATGTTCATTTATTCATCCATTTCATAATTTCTCATGAAAAATTACACTCTGCATATAGTTAGTATCTTCTTGACTATGCTTTTCGGTTTCAACCATCTGTTGCTTATGTGACACATCCAACGTGTATACGACCTACAGATGTCATGTTTATAGTCATAAGTTGTTGGTCGGTCGATTATTTTGTGTTTTAAACGTTCAAAGATGAATTGATGGTTACTTGAGTGTTCTTCTTTCCTTGTAAAGGGTTCATCTTTTTTCCTCATTAAATCATGTACTATATGTAAAGTGGCTGAATGGGTAGTGATGTGTATAAAATGTTATAAAATATCTAAGACCAAATAAGCCATCTTGAATTAAACTAAATGACCATATTCCCTTTCATTCCACAAAAGTCACAATATTCATTAATATTAACAATATTTATCAATTCTAATATGAAAGGAGTTGAGAGAGAGAGATAAATAGAAGAAATGGTGAGTGGGTAAATGGTTGATGTATTAATACATTAAGCCAATATTTTTTTTTACTTAACCCATTACATCATTTAAAAGGAAAAAAAAAAACAATCATATATAAGTATCCCCACATCATATTATATATGTTGTTCCCTGATAAACAGAGTCCATGATCAGACAAGCTTTTCTTGGGAGGACCGGTTATAATCGACCTATATGACTAAAACTAATTAAAAAAAAAAAAACATTAAGAAATACAAATCAACATCACAAAGAATTTGAAGGGATCAAAACCATTAAATATGACAAAAAAGATCCAAATTCATGGGTTCATGTATTAAACATGTACATACACAAATGCAACCAAACCAAAACCAAAACCAAAACCAAACATTCTCCATTAAATTAAGTAGGTTATTGTTTCTAAGTGGATTGAGGCTCTGTAATAGGGGCACCGCGGGGTCGAGTGACAACAGCTAAGATGTCGGCATATCCAACCAGGCCAACCAGGACTTCCTCGTTCTCGGCATCCGTCACCCAAACATGAGTCGCCCGATGAGACAACATCTGCGCCATAACTGCCGCCAACGAGCTCGTGGCTTTACATGTCAAAGGCACACTCCGACCTCTATACATACTCCGGTTATCCCCAAAACTGTGACTCGAAGGGTTACTGTTAAAAAACCCAACACTCCTGCTACTAAACGTCCTCTGTCTCAGCGGCCGCGCTCCGCCTCCATTCACTAAACTCCCGCCATTTGTTCCCGCCAGAACCATATCAGGAAGCGACCTTGAAGACAAATTATCTTCGACCCCCATAACAAACTGACCTGCGGAAAGATTAGCAAGGGCCCACGCGGCGGCTAAATAATCGCATTTCCATAGTTTGGAAGCGGAAATCTCTCCAAGAATCGTGTGTTGGCCGTCGGGAGTGCGGTCCACAACTGCAAACGCGCTTGGTTCGCGAGGGATCTGACGGGATGCTTCGATTGCGGGACATGATGCGTCGATTGAGCAGTAATTAGGGTTTATCGCGCCGAGAGATGAAATTGAGGAGAGAGGAAGAGGGGCTAGGGCTCCGAGACAACCAATTAGGAAGCGGATGACGTCTTCTCGTGAAAGGCAGCAGTATTTGTCGCGGCGGAGGGCGGTGGGTGTGGGGGTTGAAGATGAAGATGAAGGGCGGTTGTTGATATTGGGGATGGTGATGTTGGGGTTACTGTCGATGTTTTTGAGCCATTTTCCGTTGTACAGAATTGAGAAGCGTTTGCTCATCCCTCGCCATCCTATGGATTTTGGAACCAGAAGTCGCCGGACACCTTGCTTCATTATCTCCAATGCGTCTATTAATCTAAAACATTAAAAACAAAAAAAATGAGTTCAATATTTGCTTTCAATAGCATTGTACTTTCAGATTTTTTTTTTCTTATTGAAACATTATACTTTAAATAATCCACCCAATTATAGAAGGAAAATTGCTTTGCATTTGCATTTGCATTCGCATTCGCATGACATAATTTGATAGATTTTTCAAAATACAATGTTGGAATTAGAGAAAAAAACGAAAATAAGATACAATAAATAAATCTAAGAAAGTACATTGCCATTTCTTGCATTTAAACATTGATAAAATGATGAAACTACGTTGTGCTTTTTATGTATGCCAAATTGACAACCATGGTCTCTTCTTATAGAAGGAATCTAACGGAATGGATACAAGAGAGCACATGTATGCAAATCCTAAAATTGATGATAAATTTAGTACCGGTTGGCGGTTGCATATGCATTATAATCTTCTAAATTGACAAGAATCATTCTCTTTACATCAACATCAACAACCAACCTTTTATCCCAAAAGCTAGAAGAATCTATGTCTTATTGGAAAAGTAGTAGATTTGAATATGTTGAATCAAAAAGTAACCCTTTTCTTAACGGAGTAAGTATTGGTACCTGGAAACTGTGTACGATTCTATATTGAACTCCAAACAGATCCGCATATGGCTACTGATTAACAGCTTGTAAAAACAATGTGAATGTCTATGATCATAACATCTGAATTCATGTAAAATCATATAAAATATTGAACTTATCATATTATTAAATCTCAGATCTTATGCTCCTAAAGAAAGACCAAAAACTTGTTGATTCATACACAGAACTCTTTCGAAAAAAAAAAAGTTCATACACAAGAACAATCGAAAGATGAAGACAACAGATTGATAATGATAAATCGAGTGTTTTAGGGTTTGATGTCAAGTTCATCGCTTTAATCTATATAAAAACAAGATGAAAGCTAACCTTGTGCCAGGATCAACTTCCTTCATCAAAGTATTGTCAGGAACAACCACCTCAGAAACAGGCGTCTTCAGAGCTTTCTCTTGATCATTCAAACAATCATCTCTTGCCAAGAAAGCAACGATATCGAGCGGGTTTAAGATACCCACAAATCTCTGATGCCTCATCTCTGCGTTCTCAATTAAACCCTTCTGCACCGACCTCCTCTTCCAAATTGCTATCCCGCACTCTGTCGACTCTCCGATTGCCTTAATCGCAGCCTCGAGCGTCTCATTCTCGGTGAACTCAACCAGCTCCGGCTTCCCCACCGTCAGATCCCCCACCACATGATACAAAAACACCGATGCCATTTACTTGATTTGCAATTGATCGGTTTTGGAGATTTGAATAGTCAATTGATGGGTTGACTACTGATGATAAGCGAAAAAGCAGCCCCGTTTTGGGAATTGATCGTTTTGGGTGAAAATCGAAGTTGCAAAACAAGAACACCGCTTCAATTTCGAGGTTTGACTGACTGCGACTAAAAGCAAGGAGTTATAAAAGGGTATGCAGGAAGATAAGAAGAAGGTGGAAACGAGTGATGGGTAATTTAAGAAGTGGCTTCAAAGAAGAGGAGATGAAGTGAGAGTAAGAGAACGAATTGTCCATGGAGTAGCAGGAGTTGGTTGAAGAAGAAAGCCCATGAAAAGGTCGAATTTTGTGAGAGATCTACACTCGGTGGATCGTTTTTGCTTCTGGGGTTTCAAGAATGATAAGGTTGAGTGAGCAGAGGGAGGGGATGACAACATATATCAGCATCAATCATGGAATTATGACAATAAAGACAGAGTGGTATAAGATCCAAAATTGAATTTTGCAACCAACTCATACCCTATGAAACAAATTATTGAGCATCATTGACCCTTCGTCTATAATTAAGCATAATAATTGCAGTTTAATAAGCTCATAAGTATACTATGTAAGGTCTCAATTTACATCATTAGACTTTAATTTCAAGTGTTAAGATTTTGAATAAGTAGTGGTTGCACACGACTAAGCATCCGCATTAATATAAAATTAACCACAAAACTTCAAAAATAGTCACTGTGATTTTCGAAAATCTGAACTTTAGTCCTTAATTTATAAAAACCTCACAGATGTCCATGTGGTTTCAAAACTTTTAACAAATGTTCATTTTCACTAACTCCGTTAGCTTTTGGCCGTTAAGTAAATGACATTTCTGTCATTTCACTATACCATTTATGAAGTTTTGTCTTATTTTAAAAAAAATAAAAAAATATATAACTATTTAATATTAAAGGGATCTCTCTTTCTTTATTTTGTTCTCGTTCTCACATTGAAATGCAGAAAAGCCAGACCACCATTAAAATGTAGAAAAAAGGAACCCCAACAGTGTACATCCTTTTCTCCCCTTAATCTCTCCTTAATCTCTTTCTCCTTTTGACATATTAGTTAAGAACAAAAACTTTAATTCTAAAAAAAAGAAAGAATCATCAGTATTACTGTCACATATATGAGATTCGTTTTTCCTTCACTTTGTTCTCATCCCCATCTTCATCATCATCGTCTCCGACAGCCAAAAGGGCCACCCTCGTCTTCAACATCCACCATAACCTCGTCTTCAACATCCACCAAACCCAAATCCAAAGCAACCATCGATTCCAAAATCAAAACCAAAGTCAAAATTCAAAATCAAACAGGAGGAATTGACAACTTGTTTATGAAATAGAAATCTAAATCAAATGCGGGATTTCTAAAACAATCATCGATCTTTATAACATATCGATTTCATAAAATGATTTTTGATTTCAATACCTTGATTAATGTCACCGATGGTGGTGGTCACTCTGATTCACAGTAGGTTGATGATGGTCTTCATCGTCCAGGGACTTTTCTTGATGGAGATGTTGTAGTGACCTACGAGGAGAGGTGGTCTCGAGGAAGAAACAACAGACTTGTGGGTTTTTATGTCGACGATGTGGATGACCAGTGGTGAAGAAGAGTCCTCCAAGTCCAAAGAAGTGAAAAAAGGGGATGAGGGCGTTGGGCCCTATTCTGATCATCCAGCAAACGCGAAGGGAAGGGGCAAGGCAGATCGGAGATAGAACAACAACAGATGGGGCGTTTGGGTTGCTATGAAGTCGACGATAAGCACAAGGAAAATGGGAGGGGGCTGTTGCCCTCTTGACTGCCGGAACACCCCACCTCTGATGGAGGTTTTCTTGATTAAAATTGAAGAAGAAGAAGAAGAAGGGAGGCAACAACAGCAAGTATCGGTGGCTGTTTGGCTTACTTGTCATCGAGAAGGAAGAAAGAAACATGGTTGGAACATAGGATAGCAACCTCCGTTTTCTGCTTGGGTTTTCCGAGAGAGAGAGAGAGAGGCCCTTTAATTAAATATATATATATATATAATATATATAATATATATATATATATATATAATATATATTTAAATAAGGCAAAACTTCATAAATGGTCCCTGTGGTAGTGAAATGACAGAAATGTCATTCACTTAACGGCCAAAAGCTAACGGAGTTAGCGAAAAGGACCATTTGTTAAAAGTTTTGAAACCACAGGGACGATCTGTGAGGTTTTTATAAATTAGGGACTAAACTTCAGATTTTCGAAAAACCTCAGGGACCATTTTTGAAGTTTTGTCAAAATAAACCATAGACTTTCGAGAATTGTTGGAAAAAAATTTCGATTTTGTCATTTTAATCGATTATTGTTAGGTGCATTTTATGTATATTTTTAGCATATTTTTTCTTGTTTTTTGCATAACGAACATGCTTAAAATCATATATTTTATTTATAATTCAAAACATTACATGTTTATTGGGTGAGCAAAGTTATTTGTATATCTTTTGTTGAATTTAAAGGGGATTTGAAGGTTGGGACTTAACAATGAAAGATGGAAAAGAGTTTGAGTAAAAATTTCAAATGAATGTGGAGCAATCATGAACCATACATACAAAAGATGGAGGTTACAAAAACATTTTTTGAGAAGGAAATGACCACACCAAGCCAACTGAGCCAAAATAACAGCCGAAATAAGCAAGCCAGGAGAAGCCCGCAAAATGGATATGATGCATGCAATACTTTTACAAATCAATAAACCTAATAAAGATTATAATACAAATAATGGAAGCAACCCCAAGAACATGAGTATTTAAGTGGTTCACGCTCTACCTCAAAATGTTACTTTACTCGGAAAAATCACATCGTCTAGTCAAGCACACCCTCGGTTTTGATCCACTAAAAAAATAAGTTCCTTAAAGTAAGAACTCGAACCTATGTGTAAAATATAAAATCTATGTCCTCTCAAACACTTCCATGAAAAAAGAGTGTGGATCTCTCTCTTTCTCACATAATAATATACTTACATTTTTCTTTTACTTTGATCATTCAAACTTTAGATCAAGGTAAGATATCTTAAAGCTTTTGTAAGTGTTTTTCAAATATGTTTAATCTCAAGTGGTGTTCGTTTTCGGTTTTGGGTACATGAGAAAATAATCTTTCACCTCCCAAGTTCAGAAACCCTAGAAAAGTTGGAGCTCGTCATCATGTCGTGGTTGCTACCAAATTTGTTTAATCGAGTCTTATTCCTTCTGGTTCTCGAGTTAGCTTTCAAAACTGTTGGTGTTTTGCATATTGGGTGCGATCACAAGAGAGGAACTTTACGTTGGGTTCTTAAGTTCGATTAACCGGCGAGACCTAAGAAGTCAAAGAAAACACAAAGGTATGATTTGTTCTATTAAGTCCACAAAGTTGCATAGATTGTTTGTGCTAGATCTGGTTGTTACGAGTCCATAGATCATAAAATATGGTTGCTCCCATTGTCCCAAATTGTCTTTGATTAGGCTCGTAACCCAACAGTGGTATCAGAACGTCTGGTTAGCTCAAGTCTATTGCACTTAGATTTTGTCTTTGATTGTATGTTAGGGTTTGTATGTGTAGGATTCCAGATGTTTAAATCATTTTAAATAGTCTAGAAATTTTCCTTGTCAAATCGAATATGTTTTATACTTGTTAATGATGGGTTTTATATGTTAAAACAAAAATGCACAAAGCGGAAAATACTTAACCATTAAGAATTTAGGCAAATGCAACCTAAAGGATCTATGTCTTTTACATAAAAGCAACATACTTTGAATTAACAAAATTATTATAACCCTAATGAAATTGAAATTCATAAGAGAAGGTTACATACCTTTTGATTGGTTATAGCAAACAAATCAAACCAATCATTCTTTAAAACTCTTAGAAGCAAGCACCAGAAATCTCGTGTCTTTGATGGTTCACACCCAAACCCTAGCAACTAGGAAACTTGAAGAGAGATGAGAGGGGATGTATAATTTCGGCTATCCTTTAGAGGGAAGTGATGGCCGAAAATATGAAGGGGTGAAGGCCTATTTATAGTTGATAGGAAAACCCTAGATAACCCTTACTTGATTTAAAATAATAATATTTCAAATCAGATAATTATCTGGCTTCCTAATTATCTTCAAGGAATATTCCAGATGCCTCAAAGATACCTCCAAAAATGTCCAAACCCTAGGAAGGTTCTGTAATGCCTTTTGTTCAACTATTGAACAATTACAGCTTAGGTCCTTGCATTTTTAATTAATCCAGTTAATCCCAAATTAATTCTAATTAAATTCTGATTAATTCTTAATTAAATAATAATATTTCTAATTTGTTGGGTTTAAGTGTTGCGTCTTTGGGCTCGTTATTTTGTTTACCCGGTTTGGGCCTGTCCAACCGTGGATTCTCATTAGGGTTAGATTATATATATTGCATGCATGTATAGCTTAAAGGTTATCGTTCTCATTAATAGCTTTTGCATTGTAACCCTAGCACACCTCTACAGTCGAAGTTCTTCATCGAGCTCTTCTGAGGTGTGAGATATTAATCATTCGACACCATTTGATCCATTCTTGTGTTCTTTACTTGATTAATATTGTTTTTCTGTTTAGAATCTATCGATCTATAGCGCTTTATTCTCATCAATTGGTATCAGAGTAGGAGACTGTGTAATACATACGCATCTCTTCTATTTGAAGAATCCTTTAGGATTTCCGCTTTTATCAATATATAGAAGCTGTCTTCTTCTTGTCGACGGTATCTCTTGTGTTTGATAAAACCCTAAGTTCAACTTTACAAGTCTGGTTCTAGCAGATTAAAAGAAAAAAAGCTCATCATGTCTCACGATGACTCTCAAATCAATCCGATCAACATCTCCAATAGTATAGGATCCACTACAAGGGTTCCCATTCTTTATACTCAAGATTATGAAGTATGGGCGCATCACTTCGAAGACTATGTCGTTGGATCTGAAGACAACGACTATCTTATCTGGGAAGCAATAACATTGGGTCCGTTTGTTCACTCTGGAACGAACAGAACGATCAAGACTCAAAAAGAGTATAACCAACTCTTGGCGGACGTAGATAAGATCCCTCAAGATGAAAAAGACAAGGTGTTATGCAACGTTAAAGCCATGAGGATGATCAGATTCGCTTTGCAATCTGACACTTTTCGTCTGGTAAGTTCATGCACAACAGCTAAAGAGATATGGGATAGGTTGAAAGAATTATATTCAACTAATGAGGATCTAGAGCACTCGATTCAAACCCTATTGCTCTCTGAATTCGGTGCTTTCGAACAAAAACCTGATGAGAAACTCATTCAGACATTCGATCGTTTCAACCATCTGCTCAGCAAGATGATGAAGCACGGTATTGAAAGGAAGGTGATCGAACAAAATTGTTACCTTCATGAATGGCTTAAGGCCCGAGTGGATGGCAGTGGTCTCGACCGTGAAGGCTCATGAGTAATTTAA